TCAGTTTCCTCCCACAGTCCAAAGATGGGCAGGCTAGTTGGATTGACCAAGTTAAATTACCCCGTAGTGTTCTGGAATATGTAGATTAGGTGTGTTACAGGGGAATGGGTCTGGGTGGGATGCTCTGAGGGTCGGTGTGGACGTGTTGGGCCAAAGGGCCTGTTTCCACACTGCAAGGATTGTATGAAGCTGGTCTCACCTTGCATAATCTATTAAAAAGGAGTGGTTAAATGAAAGAAAATCCCTAATATTTACTTTATAAGCAGCAAGTAACAATTTATTTATTTAAACCTGACAGTGAACAAATTGACAGAACTACTAACAAATCAAACAATTCCTCCTTAACTACTAACTACTACTTAACTGAACAAAATTCTACTGGTGTGCTGTTCCAATAAATACAAATCCCACTTAAATAAACCCAAGTAACAATAAAAATAAATTAAAACTTAGACTCTCAAACTTACAGACAGGTTAAGTCTTCCGGAATGCTCCACGCCCTTGCCGCTTATCTCCAGGCAGGAACGCCTTTCTCTGTCGAATTCTGGTGTCTAAAATGCCACACTCTGTTGAATTCTGATGTCAGGAATATTAGCTAAGAGTGTCGTGGTTCCTTTTTATGGATAGATGGTGCTTTTTCAGAGATCTTAGAGATTTCTGTGTGAGCTAACTGTTTATTCCTCAGTTGGTGGTTTGCTCTTACACTGAATTCCAAAAACAAACCCTCTTCTTATATACCCCAGATGACCTGTCAATTTTCTTATAATAGGATTGGTCTGAGATTATCAAAACCATCATTGGTTTTCAATCTCTAAGTGCTTGGTTTAAATTAATTGGCTGATCTTCAAACTGGTTGCCAAAACATCAAAACACACCTAAGGTTTCCAATCACACAGCCAATTGATGTATGGTTCAATTTCAGAACTGTCTGTTCCTATTCGGCTGCTTACAGACTCATTTTCTGTGTAAATCTCTAAGCATAGAATAGTACTTTACCTCTTAAAGGAACCACGCACTCTTCTCCCTCTAGTTTTACAAACAAATTCTAGCTTCCTGCCTTCCAATTCACAACTACTCTACATAACTTGGTAACATTTGCATAAACTGAATTTAAGTAATTCTTGACTTAATGTAAATCGAATGATAATGTTGCCTTTAAAATGTTGTAATTAATCCCAAATGATGTCTGTAAGAGGTTACGGGCATTTCAAACGAATGCATTTTCAACCACGTCACTTGCTGAACAAATACTATTCCAGTATTATTGCAGAAGCTAAAAATGCAGGTTGCAACAGTCTAAAACCTGCTTCCGGAACCTAGGGATTAATTTTTGGATGCAAATTGGTATGTCAGCCATATACAATTAGTATGAATATAATTGGAATCTCTGCCTGGGAAATGCCAAATTGTTGATTTTGTTTTAGCTCTTTTAATTGCATTTGTTGTTCACTTGACCCAAAGAGAGAGACAGAAATCACACTGGAAACAGCTAACCGAGAAAGGGCAAAAGTTGAGACAGCATGTTAAATGATGCTGAGTCAGATTCTGAGCAATGTTCAACATTCATTGTCTCACATTTGTTGTTGGGTATCTTGTTGAGAGAATTCCGTATGAAAGGTCACTTCTTGTTTTGTGTTTTCTGAAGAAGGGCCCCGACCCGAAATATCAAATTTCCTGCTCCAGTGATGCTGCCTGGCCTGCTGTGTTCCTCCAGCTCCCCACTGTGTTACTTCTTGTTCTGTACTTGGGAAATGTTCTGTGTTATTAAGCATATGTCTGGGCACTGTCTGGATTATATGGCATTCAAGACAGTTTTGGATTTGACTAAGAGCGGATGAGAAATATTATTTTAGATAGCAGCTACAATTGCCTAGAATGCATTGCCTACGAAGGTGTTGGAAATAAATTGCAAAGCAGAATGATTAAAAACTTAAAACCAAGCATAATGGTGAGAATGCCCACTTCCTGTGCTGCACAAATCTGTGTAGCTCTATCCCCAAGTAGAACATCTCCTTTACAGAGTAATAATTTGCAGATAATACTTTAAACATGCTTCCCTGTTTATCTCATATATTTTAAAATTCCTGTTTCAACTACTTTTCTGTTTGACAGTGAGGTATTTTGCTGCTATGATTGAAAAGTGCTTTTAACATCTAACATCAGTGTTTAAATATAGACTTCTCTGCTCTGTATACTGTGCAATTAAAAAAAAGTATCAATCTTAAGCGCTTTCTCCATTACAACAGTTTCTGTAGCTATCATTGCAGTTCCTTTGAACCATGTTGTCCTTAATTGTGAACTTTTTTTTTAATCAGTTGGTTATGTAGTTTAATAACATTGCAATTTTATAATAAGACAAGAACAATTCCTTTCCAAGCTTTTTATGAAGACAGTGAATGGAGTGGGACCGTAATCAGCATTGCGAGTACTCCATTAGTCACTGCTGCCCTGGTACAGGTTTTTCAATTTATCACCGTCTTCTGCTTTAACATGCTGAGTCAGTTTACAGTCCAGTTAGCTAATTTGATCCATGAACCTCCACTGAAATAAACATCTCTCATGTCAGAATCTGATTTGTCCTATTTAAACATTCTGACTGTGGCCAAAGTCCTAATCATTCATCACCTGTCTGCCAACTAACCTGCACTGGCTCCCAGTCAAGCAGCACATTGATCTTTATAATTCTCGTTCTTATTTTAAGTCCCTCCACACGTGGCCTTACCCGTTCCATCTCTGTAATCCCCTTCAGCCCATTATGTAAAATTAAAAGAAAAGGTAGAAGAAATAAGCCATTCAGCTGCTCTGGCCTGCTCTGCATTTAATAATACCTTTGCTGAGCTGATCTCAGTTCCAGTTTCTGGCCTGTTCCCTTTGGGCCATGGCCCCTCTACACATTAGGAATCTGAAACAATGATCCCAGGTTCTAGTTTCTTGATTGTTGAGTAATGACCTTTCAACATCTACCCTAACAAGCTCCCTCAGAATCTCCCAGGCTTCAGTCCTCCCAGACATGCATCCCATCGAATCCTGACCTTGGGCCTCCCTTACTTTACTTGCTTCATCACTGAGAGCTATGTCTTCAGCTGCTTGAGTCCTAAACTATCAAGTTGCTTCTATGACTCTCTGCTTCCTTTTAGTCTGATGACACCTATTAAGATGTACTTCTTTGACCATCGCCCCAGTGTCTTTTTATGTGGCCTCAATTTCTAATTTCAGACTCATAAGATGGTTTCAGTGCAGAAGGAGACCATTCAGTTCCTCTAATCCATA